GGGGGGGGGGGGAAGGAAAGGGGGGAAAGAGAATGAAAAGTTTAAGATTTGAAAAAACAACCAAAAAGAAGAAGAACAGTTTGAAAAATAAGTATAATATTAGAAAGCAACAGAAGAGGGGATTACAGAAGAGACAATTAGAAATAGAGAGACAAGGGGGTAAAAAGGGGAGGGAGAAGAAGAGGGGGAAGAAGGAAAGGAAAAGAAGTTATAAAGGACAGAAACAAGATATAGAGAAACAGGGAAAAGGTATAAGAATTGAAGGTATAAGCCTGTTTAGAGATAATGGGTGAAAACGTAATTATAAAAGGGATTCTGCAAAGGTACATAAGATAGTATTGTTATATTACAAATAGAAATAATTTTAGAAAATATGATTAAAATGGATAAAATATCGTAATCTAGTGGAATGTTTGTTAATAAATAAATGAAATAAAGTGAATGAGAGAATTAAATTAGGAAAGGATGGGAACATTTTAATTATTAATGATTTATAAAATATAAGTGAAGAGAAATATGGGGAAAAAATAATTATGGAAAGTTTATAAGTATGATATTTAATTGAAAAGAAATGTTAAAGATGTTAAGATTTTAATGAATATTAATGATAGAATTGAATTGGAATGGAATGAGTGCTTTATTTATTTATATATATATATATATATATAATCTTTTTTTAAGAATATAGTGTGTATTTTAAGAATGTACCAAGCAGAATTCAATTGGAAGTTATGTATTATATTGAATGTTGTAATCTTAAAGGTATACATTGAAGCTTAAATAAGAGTTGAATGGATAAAATTAAAAGATATAAAGGTGTCATACTCCAATTAGTAATTACAGGGGGAAATTTGTTTAATGAGAAAAGATAATATGAAATTGAAACAGGACAGACAAAAGTATAAATATAATGATTTGAACTGAGATGAGATAATCAAAATAAAGTTGAGAAAATTAAAAGAGGGGAAAAACTATGTAGAAAATGTAAAATAGTAATAAGATATGGAATAGAACACAAAAATGAGCATGAAATTGAGTTTGTGTCTGTATGAAGAAGTGATAACCTGGGACCATGCTATTTTCAAAAAAAGATGTTTTATTTGTATTATGGTTTTTTTTGTGAAAACACAAATAAAATTTTCAAAAAACAACAACACCTAACTGTCCCGAATAAGAACAAGTCTTGCAAGGTTGTGCAAGGCTGCCAAGAGCACGAGATTAAATTGCAAGGAAATAATCAAAACCCAAAGTCTCCAAACACAAACCAGGATAGTCTGAACTTCCACAAGACTTGAAGTACAAGAACTTCTTCGCTTCCTGCAAAGAATCCCACCTCTGAGGGCTGGCTTTTATCCCTTAAGGGAGGGGCCATCACCTTGCAGCCTTATTCCCAAGTCGCCTGTGCTGCTGCAGCTGCTTTTTCCTTCAAGCAGTCCTGCGCGCATGTGCACTGGGCACAAGCTCCTTGGGGTCCTCTGCATCACTGCTGCCAGCCTCCATTAGCTCTGAAGGCAGCACTCCACTCTCTGATAGACCTGGCCCCATTCCTGCATCACTTGTAGGCCCCTCATCCAAGTCTTCGTCTCCGAGACCTCAGCCATCCGCACGTGCTACCGGCGAACCACAACACTTATGTTTATTCTTATTTCTATTATATTGTAAGCGTTTGACAAAATAAATAAATAAAATAAAAATAAATGTTTTCTTTTGACTTCTGTCATGTTTTAAAGAAGAAAAAGCTTCGTGTTAGTATTCAGTTTTCTATGTAGTAAAATGAGTATATTGTAACTATTTTGCCATTGGTTCTCTCATTAGAAAAATTATAAAGTAGGCACTAGGTATCAATTTGATATACTGGTATGCCAAGTATAAATAGATGAGCATAGTTTTTAGACTTACACATTAAAAATAGTTCAGAAGCACGTTGAATCTTTTGCAAACATGTTTCTCTGATACTCAGTAAAAGCAATCTGTCTTTTTGAAAGTTTCTATATGATTCTTAAAAATGTGGTTACTTCAAGAATGATATTAACCTTAATAAATTGATTCCTTAAAGGAGCTGCATCTTTTCTCTGAGCTTATGAAATTCTGAAAAAAACAACACCAGACTATTTTAATGAATAATAGAGATGTGCTGTGACCTCAGGAAGACAGAAACATTTCTCCAGAATTATTTTCTAATGCATAGCTACACTAATTATATTTTGAGTATTGAATGTTACATCTCTAAGTAGATTTACTGAGAAATATAAACACAAGATTCTGATCTTTTATTGGGTATTAAGTAGATTTTATGGACTACCAGGAAGTGTCATGGGCAATAGGTCAAATTAGGAAATTGTAAAGCTTTCAAAAAAATGATACAAACTCCTTCTATATTGGCATCAAGAAAACTCTGGTATCCATGTAGTCATCAAGAGATGAATTCTAGATGAAGGAGATGTTTATGAACAAACACAAACTAACAGTTCCATTTCTGCTGTTTAGGAATTTGGAAGCTCCAGAAATACCAGTATATTCTGTGAAGGGGCATAAGGAAATCATAAATAGCATTGATGGAGTTGGTGGTCTGGGAATTGGTGAAGGAGCCCCAGAAATTGTGACAGGAAGTCGTGATGGTAAGTTAGTCCTCTTGCAATGCCCTCAAAGGGGAGAACAAGGGAAGTAGGTTAGACTAGAATACAGATAATTTAAATCTGTAAAAATCTGCAATATTATGAATTAATTTTGATTTTAAATTTAAGATCACCTTAGTTTTAAATTGAATGGAAAATATATATTGATGAGTTTCGTATGGTTTTTTTTTTCCCCATCAGACTATCAAGTCTATCAAATGTTGTTCTGGAAATCTGCATTCACATGTGTTTCAATGAATAATATATTTGGTTTGCATTCAATATCAAATATTATGATTTCTCATGGAAATGATACAATTCATTGGCTGAACAATATAATCTTCAGTGAACAATTCCTGTGAACATAATAGAATTTGTTTTTAAGATAACATGTACTGTATGGAAGTCACTGCCCATTTAAGAAGTGATTATTATATATGACTCAAGCTATGACACATTAGATGTTATAGAAGTCCTACTAATAAACTGCCACACAATTATTTCTATTCCTAAAAGACTTCATTTTCAAAAGTAGTACATGTAAGTCCATTTTATGAACTCAGAAATAAGTTGCATATAATTGAATGCTTAAAATATCCAGTGCTTTTAATTAGGTATTTAATAATAGGTATTAAGGTATAAGAAATCCTAAGATATTTAAATATCTGTTTCAGAATTAAAGTTTTCCATGATGTTGATGGTGAGAAAGTAAAAAATACACATTTTCAGAGGCATCTCATTGATTAAAAAAAAACAACAGCATGAGATAAAAAATACCCCTTCACTTCTGTATTCTGCCTAATCCCCATTACAAAGGTTGAACAGAGTTAAAAACACATGGTTTATAACCCAGGCACTTAGGCTACTGTATTAACTATCCATACCTTGGGGAGTAGGCCATTGTCCTGGTTCATTTGGCATGAGCTGGCCCCAGCTCTTCTCTGGCCTGGGATTGGTAGATGGGTTGATTCTGACTTCAAGAGCAATGGTATAGCTTTTCCTGTATAATAGCTTCAGAGCTGCTAGAAGGAGATTGACCCTCTCAGTAGAGGAAGAACAAGATACAGAATGATAAAAGGAAGAAAGACAAACAATCTTGAGTTCTTGGAGTAAAGGTAGAATATAAATCTAATAAATAAAAATGGATGGGAGAGAACATGTAAAAGAAGACAGAAGAATGAGAATCTGTGTTCCTATGTTGACCATCATCTCCCTGGCAATTTCCCCGAATTACAGGTGATCTTTTGTTCCTGGCCTGTCTAGTTGTATGCCTGCAGCTTCGGCAAATTAATTTGATATTTTGTATATTTTTTTCCTAGATGGAGCAGCAGTAACTCTCCTTTTGGGAGACAAAAGCAACAATCTTTATTCAGAATTGTGTATGCTATTTTGAAGAATCTTTTGAACCTTAGTTTATTTTTTCTTATTTCGTAAAAATCTAATGTGTGGGTATATCTCATGTTTTGTAAAATGATACATAGCTTTGAAATCAATCAATCTAGGTATTGCTATAATCAGAAGATCACTGAGGTCCAATGCTCATGCCTCCTGCTAAGATATTAATACATGTTTTCACATGTCAGCTAATGAATCAATTAGTTGCATATAGTTTAAAGAAAAGACAAGTTTTTCTGAACAGTTCACATTTCATTGAAACTATGACATAATAGATCTGGATTGCATCCAAACATTAGAGCAAGCAAGTTAATTTGGTCAGCTTTCTCAAACTGTGAACATAATAGATACGATGGACTAATTTCTCACTATTCCCAGCCACAGCCAAGTTAGTCTGATTTAGATCTGTAGGTAGTCTTTGATGTACAATCACGCAACTTCCATACCAGAAACAGTTCTGGGACCAGAACTTCCATAGCAACACTGGTTGTTAAATATTTTATGATTTTTTTTTTTTTTGCTGTGGTCAATCACATGATTGTTAAATGAATCCAGTTTCCTTCATTGAGTTTGCTTGTTGAAAGCACCTGAGAAAGTTGTAATTGATGATCACATGACCCTGGGATTCTGCAACTGTTGTAAATAGATGCCAATTGCCAAGCACCCAAATTTTGATCAAGGAACTGTGGGAACATTGCAGTAGTTGTAAGTTTGAGGACTGTTCATAAGTCACTTTTTTCATCACTGTTGTAATGTCAATCATTGAACAAATGGTTGTAAATCAAGAATACTTGTATTTTAGAGAATTTTAATAGTATGACCTTACCTTATAAAGGCTTTTTTTTCTTGAAATTGAATTATCACTATTATCGCATTTATTAAACAGGCAGATATTTTATGGAATATCAATGATAAGCTACAGATTTATTTTTAATCCAGCAAATTCTGAAGGAGTGAAAGCGAACAATCTTACAACTCTAGCTAAGCAGATTAAATTTGCTGATCATTTCAGTTCATGCTTGACATTCCATAAACATTTTTCACTTGCATAAACTTGGCATAGAAGTTGTAGAAAGCAAAATGGTAATCTGCTTTTGTACTGTTACCAAGAAAATTACATGGATTTATTTGTGAAGTCACCAGGGGCTGAACTAAACTCAGACTTTTACACACCTACAGATAACTGCGTATATATGCATAATGTTTTCTTAAAAGCAAGCTGAAAGTGTCACGTAGAAGAATAAATACAAATTCATTTGATGGTTGCAGGGACAGTGAAAGTCTGGGACCCAAGACAAAAAGATATTCCAGTTGCCAATATGGAGCCAGCACAAGGAGAGAGCACAAGAGACTGTTGGACAGTTGCCTTTGGTAGGTCTGAGTTTCTAACCTGTTCATGCCATATAGAAATTGATCATGGGATTTATCTTGCTTTCCATTACTTCGTTCTCTGAATGGCTGTTTGCACTTTTTAAAAAAAGTGGAAAAAGTTTTTAGATTCTTACACAAATGTAATATTTCTCTAATATTCATTAAAACAGCCTGTTTTCAGGCTTCAAAACTTGAACTCTGTTGAGCAGTGTTGAGATGCAGACATTTGTATGCAGAATTTGTGCTATATTGAAATAATAAACTCTGTCTGTGCATGGTCCAAAGCATTTCTTCAGAATAATTTTCAAATCACCCACGGTATTATTGAATATCACAATATTCCTTTTTTCAGATTTTCTGACACAGAAAGCAGATAGAAATTATTAGGGAAAGTTGAAAATTTTGTTTGAAATGCAACCCGTAAAATTATTCCTCCAGAAATTAGGCATCAACCTATTACCGTTAATCATCTCCGGTATCAAACAGCCAATTTTATATCAAACAGCCAGCTTAAATATTCCAAATCTCGTTATTCAGAGGCAAAAATATGTACATTAATGTCTTGTTTAAAATAACATATAAATTCTGCAATCGCTACTTCTTTTGCTTTAATTCTATGTTTTCTGAAATGAAATGATTTGTCTTACCTCATTACAAAATTGTTTTACTAGAAATACAGTATATTTCCTTAAAATTGGTGTACAAATACAGGATTGTTAGAATAATGTTTTGGTTATTGTTGATTCTTTATCTGAATAATCTCATCTTATTTTAATTAGGCAATGCATATAATCAAGAAGAACGGGTTGTATGTGCTGGCTATGACAATGGGGACATCAAGTTGTTTGACCTTAGAAATATGACATTACGATGGGAGACCAACATTAAGAATGGGGTTAGACTTTTTTTTCTTCACAAGTCTTCAAAGTTCTGTGGGGATAGGTACCATTTTAGAATTTCTTTTTGTAAGTTAATCAGTTTGTTTTATCTGATGATTAGATTATCAGTATGGTCAATCTATAATAGAGTGTTATGCCAGACCAAATACTCTTTAAAATAAACATGAAAATAAAAAAAAATGTAGTTTCAGTGATACTATTAAATCTTGTTGAAGTGTAACATTTTGTGAAATCTTGTTGCATAATTCTTGATTCCATTAGGGCTAAGCAGAGAACTAGAAAAGGATCCAGCTAGCTATCCTCTGTCTAGATTATGCAACCTTGATAAAATGTGCTTCTAAATAAGCTACATCATAGTTCTTTCTTGCAGTGTGTTATTCAGTTGTAATTTATTGGTTGCTTACTTTAAATTTCTAGGTCTGCAGTGTTGAATTTGACAGGAAAGATATAAATATGAACAAATTGGTAGCTACATCGCTTGAAGGAAAATTTCATGTTTTTGATATGAGAACTCAGCATCCAACTAAAGGTTTTGCTTCTGTTTCAGAGAAGGTAAATTGTTTTGTTTAAAAAGAGGTTGCTAATTTATACTTGGAGATGTTCTGTTGCCACATACCATTGAAGGAGTGGATGGAGGTAGAGGGTAGTTCAAAAGCACTCGTACCCTAATCCTTGAAATATTTCTCTCCTGCAAAGCTAAATTCAGAATGGATTGGAGTATTATTCATTTAGCTAAAAAGTTAAAAGCCCTTTGAGATGTGGAGAACAATTTATCTCAAGATGCACATCTAATCCAGAAAAAGGAGATTATGTTTGTATTTGTATCTAGCCTTCTCTGTGGAAAATGTACATTGAATAAGACTATTAAACAACTTAGGCAGTATAAAAAGTCTGTCTCTTTCACCAAGCATGAAATGAAACTCCCCCAATTTCTATCTTCTCTGTAACAAGCGGAAAATGTAAGGGAAAATCTCTTACGTTTTATAGAGTTACGGGCATGTGACTGTCAAAATTACAACAACTTCCGAACTCAAGGGCTTGTGCTGCTTAGTGATTAGATAAATGTGTGCTCATTCTTTATTGCACATTAAATCTGGGGCATGAACATGCAAGTTACCACTGAGATCAGACTGTGAGGGTACTCATAGTCACAAAATTGAACTTTTGGGGTATTTTTAATCATTCACTTTAGTGATTTTCTTGTGTCTTGGTTTCAGTCAGTTATAGAAAATTACAAAATAAACCTCTTTATTTTCTCTCTCATTTTATTACATAATTTTGTTGGCAGGCTCACAAATCCACTATGTGGCAAGTTCGGCACTTACCACAGAACAGAGATGTCTTTGTGACAAGTGGAGGAGCTGGAAACCTTCATCTCTGGAAGTAGTAAGTATTTTACTTTCCATCAAAGTTATGTTTTTGAGTGATGCAAATGTTGTACCTCTTACAGAAGTACAGGCGTACAACATTACATTGCAAATACTATATATTTACAGACTTACAATAGAATAAAATCGTAAGAGTACACAAGTAATTAAAAGGCAAAACAAAAAAGCAGCAGTTTGAATGAAGAGTTTCTAACAGCAGCACGTTAAAAAACAAAACATTGATTAAAATTACATAAACTCATCAGAGAGTAAAAATAGTACAAAGTAATATGGTGCCAATTCTCTCCCCCCCTCCAAATCAAAACAAGAAAAAGCAGGCAGACCTTTGTGAGATGCAAGTTACCACTGAGAGATCTACTCCAGGCCTTTTCTTTGAGCACAGCTCTTTCTTTTGATCTAACACATGTCAGAAAGTGATTCAGAAGATAAAATGCAATGTCACTTTTGGAGAAAATGTAGGAAGGTAGAATAAAACAATTTGCATTGTACATATTCATAAAGTGGTTTTGTTCATTTTATTTTCCCTACTTTAGTGAGTATCCTGCACAGCGCTCTAAGAAGGATTCAGAAGGAACAGAAATGGGAGTAGCAGGTTCAGTTAGCCTTTTACAGAATGTGACATTATCAACCCAGCCAATTTCGAGTCTAGACTGGAGTCCTGACAAACGTGGTCTCTGTGTTTGCAGCTCATTTGATCAGACTGTGAGGGTACTCATAGTCACAAAATTGAACAAAATTTGACAGGATTTCTAACAACAAAAAACGTTCATGGGTGTCCTTGAACAAACTTAGAAATTTAATGAGAAGTCAGAAGATGTGAAAAAGTTTTCCTCGACTATGGATTTTACCTTTCTAGAAAATGCACTTGTGGTTTAACATATTAAGACCTATTCACTGTTATAGATGCTTTTAAATCCAAACCACCTAATGCTTATAGTAAAATTATTGCAGTATAACAACTTTTCTTTAAATGAATTATTTTAATTATTTTGAATTTGTAAGTACTTTAAATACCTTGTTTATTACTATGTTTTAGATTACACTGATTAAAATCTGAACAAATGTTTTAATAAATTTGTTCTTTTGACTACCTGTTTACACATTAACATGTGTTCAGATCAGTAAATATTCTGCCTTTAAAAAAAATGTCCTTAAAATGTGTGATTGAGATATTATACATGTAATCAGATTGATGTCATTTAAATAGATGTAATTTACCTGATATATATAATTCTTAAGAGTGTCAAATAAAAAAATTGTTTTTTGGATTATTTAAGTACATTAAGTACAGTGTATGATAGATTGTGTGAAACAGCCAAGATATATAGTCATCCTGTCCTCTAGTGGCAAATTGGGCATATTACAGAAAATTAAGCAAAATAAAACAGGGTTTGAGTGACATACATTGAAAAAAAATGAAGTCAGAGAAGAAATGATGTCAGAGAAGCTATCTATAGAATTTCTAAGGATTCTCAATAATTTATTAAGAAATTGTTATCATAGTGGCTTGTTATGGCTGTATGGACATATAATGGTTTGCATGACAAATTGAACCACAAATCACAGCTATACCCTATACCTATAGATATTTGGACAGCACATTATCTGAAATGTAATTAATTGAATTAAGCTATGATTAACCATGGATAAGAATTACATGGATATAATAACACTGAATACAGTTAGCCAATTGCATTTTAATCAAATACGCTGACAAACTTGGTTAGCTTATGATTCAGAGCGCCTTGTAAATCCAACAACAGCAACAATAATTTGTGCTACCCAACTCAAGGATTTGTTAGATTGACTGAACGCAGCCTGGGCTAGGTTGATGGGCTAGGTATGTTAAATGGGACACTTTATTGGTTTTAGGTCTTTGCAGGACAAAACTGATTATATGGGATGGGGTTTCTTTCTGTGTCTTACCTTTCACACTTGTGTCTTTTTTTGTCTGAAGCAAGTAATAACCACATTTGTGATAAAACTGGCATTAATAATTAAATGGGCACACCCCTGCAGTTTTCTAAGCATTAACGTGGAAGGGTTTTCAATTTCCCACTCTAGTCTGCACCCCCAAGAGTCCTGGGTGATTCCCCGCAGCCACAACTAACCATACTACTGGAGTTTGGAGTGAAGGTAATATCCGAATGCCCCTAGCAGCTGAGAAATAAGATCGGATTGAATTATGTAATTGCACACGCTTTCACACGACCGAACAAACCTTGAAAGAGACCAGGACGCTTGGGGAAAACTATAATCCCTGAGGAAAACGCCCCACAAGCCCCAATGAATCAGGAGTTGCATTGCAGCCTCTTCCGAAGGCTTTTAGGGAGGGCGTTAAGCCGAGACAGCTCCTTTAATAGCAGTAGCACTTAGGCTTCCTGACGACCTTTTTTGTTCCTTTTCCTCCGCTGACAATACACAGCCTGCCGAAATGCCTTCCACACAGGTCTACAAGTGGGAAACAATCACCTTCCCGTGCTTGGCTCTAAAACAATCACTATTTCAAAGCAAGCCGACCGGCTATATTTGCTTTCCAGGCTTCTTCCTTACTGCGCCAAACCCGGAGGGAGACGCCGTATGACTAAGGCAGCTTGATCCCACTCGTGAAGTGGGGTGGGAGGGGAGAGGAAAAAGGATCGGATTGAATCGCCTTTCTATCTTTTCTTTCTATGTAGGAAGAATCTTCCATTACTATTGCGGGACTCGCCGGTCCGGAACAAAGACTGTAGCTCCGCCTACTTACGTTTCGTCTTTAGCACTCGCCTCCGTCACGTGGAGGTGACAAGGGGAGGCGAGGCCGGTGCGGGGTAGGTTGCGCCCTTCCTTTCGCGCGGAAGCGTTGCAGAAGGCTGGGTAGGTGGAGGGCAGGTGGCGCTTTTGCCGCGGGTGGTTCGTTTGGCCACGTTGATCTTGTCCTCAGAACGGGGTGCGCGCGGCCCTGAAGGTTGGGAGCAGCCGTGGCCGGACTATCCCTTTCCAGCCGCGCAAAAGACGGGCCAGCTGAACAGGCCTTTAAGGAACAGGGGTCTCCAACTTTGGCCACTTCAAGACTTGTGGACTTCAACTCCCAGAATTCCTCAGCCAGCTTTGCTTTGCTTTGCTGGCTGAGGAATTCTGGGAGTTGAAGTCCATAAGTCTTAAAGTGGCCAAGGTTGGAGACCCCTGCCTTTGAGAGAGAATGTCTATGCAGCTTCTCAGTCATCCAGGTCATGGTTGTCCCAAAAGTGTTTGTTTCAAAAGGCAACTGGACTTCCTTGATTTTTTTTCCCTTGAAGATGTTTCGCTTCTCATCCAAGAAGCTTCTTCGGTTCTGACAGCGGGAACTAAAGAAGGTCCTTGGATGAGGAGCTCCTTGGATGAGAAGCTCATTGGATGAGTTCTGACAGCCAGAACTGAAGAAGCTCTTTGGATGAGAAGCAAAATATCTTCAAGGAAAAAAAGTCCAGTTACCTTTTGAAAAAAAAAAAAAGCACCTTTGGGACTTTTGAGGGAGAGGTTACACCTTGCGGGGTTAGTGCCATCATTTCTGCCTTTGCTGGACAAAGGTAGTTGCTAAGGTAGTGCTTTAGCTGGAAGTTCTGGCTAGTTGCTCTGATTGTGGCAGGTGACTGGATGTCTAATTTTAACCACTTTCTAGCCCCCTTTCTTGTCCCCTGTATCACTTTGAAAAGCTGCTGCTATGGATTTGGGGTGATCTTGGAACAATCTGGGCTATGCCAGTATAAAGCACCATGTTGCAATATCTCTGAGAGACTGATGGGTAAAATAGAAGCACCCCATCTTGTATCAGTGGAATTGGTGCACTTTGGTCCACTAGAGCAAATCCAATCTCCAACATGATGCTTTATCCTGTAAAGTATAACTGAAAATAGATGCCAAGGTAGTTTTCAGTATTATTCAACGTGGAGGAATTGGGTCAGTTTTACTTACCAGTTTCCAAAATAAAACTCTGGCTAGGTTCATACAGCATTATATGCGATAATGTTGTTTACCTGGTTTTTGCATGGCAGAATGTGGGAGGCTAATTAGTTGGGTGCATTCAATAAACCATGCTTAATTGAGGCTACACATTTGGGGTACACAAATCTGGATGGCCACAAAATGGCAACAAAATGGTAAGAGTTGTCTGCTCTCATCTAGTGATTGGGATTTTTGCAGCTCAGATCTGGTAGTCCTAGTTTAAGTCATCGTTTAGTGTAATATGTGAACCCAGTTTGTTAAAGGTGTGTGTGCGTGTGTGTGTATTTCAACAAGCAAAAGTTACCAGATGTCAGAATCCAATTGAAAAGTCAATTTTTATACTTTTTGTTCTGCTTCATAATTGTACAGAGTACATCAATTGCCATTTGAAACTATTGATTAAGTGGTAGTTTCCTGAATGCTTACATTTTTATGCTTCATAGGATTCAAAAGTTTTAATAGGATATGATTTTCCCTTATTTCAGTGTTGTGTTTTTTTATAATTGGGCTCTGAATGTTTCATAAGTCTAGTTATGCAATCTAACCTTTGTAGTTTGTAAACCAAGATTTATGGTATATACACGTCCAGCTTGTGGCTTATTCATACAGTGGTTAAACATCATGGCTTAACGGGTTTGAATCTGGCCTATGTATTAAATATTTGAAACAGTACCATAAAGCCTATGAAGTATATATTCAATGTAGTAACTCTCAGGAGTTGATGTTTGGTAAATAGCAATTTGCAAGGAAAAACCCTTTTTAAATGTTGGCATTATTCATATTCCAAAAACCAATATTTAAGGAATCACCAAACTCGGAAAACAAAAAGATGTATTTTTAAATGTTTGCTTTGTCTCTTAAAAACCAAGAGATTTCTTTGGTCTCCATGTTGTATCCTAAGTACTGTAATTGTGTGCAGTTTCATGATTTTGAAATATGCTTGGTGGTTTTACAATTTCATGTGTCTTTCATAGTTCACTCGACATGTTTTATGAACTAGTAGTACTATTATCTTTCTATTTTTTATGTATGCACCACACTCATGTCACTTTGCTTAATTGGCATCCGTTCAGTTGTTTTCAGGATGTCACAGATATGACTACCGATATTTAGATGGTAAGCTTCCTGCTGCAGTATAGACTAATTGCCTTTCTAAATCCAGCCTCCATTTTGGTTGGGTATTGGTTTTTCACAGTTTCTCTTTTGCAAGCAACAGAGGGAAACATCCTCCATTGCTCCCTTCCAATTGGGATTTGGAAGCATAGCACCCTTGACTGCATCTAATTGTATAGGTTGTATATAAAATTGTACATAACTTTTATTTTAAAAAATATATAAAAAAAGTAAAAGCTAACACAAATTACTATAAAGTGAGGAAGATACAGAAACATGAATGAAATGGCAAAAAGTACAAGAAAAGAAAAAAGTTGAAGAAAAATAAGAAAGAAAGAATCAAGATAGAAGTGGCTTCCTATTTTCTTTATATCAGTTATAAGTATTTTATAAATTCTCTTTGTCTAACTACATCATGATTCTCTTCTTTCTATAATCTATCAAATCATCAAAACCGTAAATCACAAGTTTACTTTTGCACCAAAAGTGCAAAAGACAGGAGGCTTCCTGACACCAATAAATGTAGATATTGTCTTTTCTCTAATCAAGAATTACAGAATTGTATTTCTTTATTTTAGCAAAATCTATCAATTATTAAATAGCATCAGATTCAAATGATAACTTATTCAGCCTAGTTTCTCCATTTGGTATTAGCTTAATTATATGTTTGTCTTTCACTTTATAACTGGGAGTATTTAGAAACCCATAAATATTTTTTGGGTTTCTAATTACTGTTTTTGGTAGAATAGCCTTTTCAGGTGGTTTGTTGCTTATTTATTACCAGTGCTAGTTCTATGCCAATTCAATTATATAATGTTAAGCAGTTTATACCATAACATAGAATCCACATTAAGTAAATTAAGATTCAGTGAATCCAAATGGTCAGAGAAAGTTCAGGACTTTTTGTGTAGGTGGAAGTAAATCTGACCGTCCATAAGGACTCGTGATGTTGAGAGATTGCCATTTCAGGAGAAACCATCATGAACTTTGGTGAAATACAATTTGTTTCATTATATGTGAAAATATTGTGCTGAGTGATACAAATATTTTGGCAAACTCTGTAACAATCAGCTGTGCATTTGGCAATTTTTGTGAGCATGTTTAATAAATATATTGACTTTCTAATTAACTAGAAATATTTTTCTCTGTCTGAAGGTATCGTGAAACTACTCTAAATGATTAATTGACAAACTAATGATT